TTTATTATACTTAAGTTAACAAAGGTCATATAATAATCTGCAACCTGTCTATTTCTTATAGGCTCTGATCACGCCGATTCTGGCCATGAAAGTAAGTTCTTTAATCAAATCTGTAAAACTTTAACTAGATTCTTGCTTTAGAAGGCTACAAATATAAATTACAATAATGCATCTGAATTTAGATTAAAGGTGTTTAGATATGTTGGATGGATGAATCAGCTTTAATAATAAAGCCTGCAAGGAAAACCAAGAGGCCAATTTCTTTAGTGGCTTTTGTATCTACTTAACAACATTGATTAATTTCTACAGGTAATGGAGATTCCTCTTCGAGGAGCGACAGCCCCAGCAGCACAGCAATGGAAGTCCCTGAGGGGTCTCCAGATCAGATGGTCTGAGCTGTTGGGAGAAAGACCAAGCCATTAGAATGGGATTTGTGTTTTGGATTCACTAGTGTCCTTTCTTAGGCTGAGAGTCTTATATCTGCTCTGCTTTTGGTTAAAATGGATGGGATGGGAATTTGAGTAAAAAAAAACAACACATTTTTTTCACCTAACATAACTCATATAACAAGATATTTTGTTACAGATCTAATTGCCTATAACATTAATTATTTACTAGTGCTTCAAACAGCCAGAGCAAGTTGAAAAAACATGTATCTTAACCTCAAAGTGGTTATAAAGTGAGATGTATTTCATAAAAACAAAACTGGCACTAGTGCAATTATAAAACAAATTTTTCAAAATATCTAACATTTGTTTGTACAGCAGTTTCCATAATGGAAACTAAGACATAACGAAAAATTCAGTATGTAAAAAAAATGATACAGGATTAAAGACAGAAAAAAATTGATAAAAAAGCTAGATAAAACCAAATGCACATACATCTGTAGCTTTGTTCCTGTAAACAGAAACAAAACTTTATAAAACAATTATTTTATACAAATCTTAATTTTTTTTCACTGACACACATTCATAAAAGGATCAGTCATTTTGGTTTACAAAATGTAAACAAACTAATCCAAAACTACATATTCTGATTAAAAAGCAAAACAATATTACACTACAGTTAGTGCATATATAGTTAACTCAAAACTCATGCTAAGTTAAGCCTCAGAAAACGCATAGTCGCCGCAAAAAATGCTTAGGCTGAAGTAAAACATAAAAAAGTGTCTGAATCTGGAAAAAAAAGGTCTTTATAATGCTAGACTTACAATTTTGAAAACGTCCTAAATAAAAGTAGACACTAAGTAGTTTTCATTTTCTAAGTTTAGGAAAAAACATAAAATAAACAGATGTAAATAAAAAGATACCTGGACATGGTGTAATAACTTACATTTAGATAAGATGTATAGATTTTAAATTCCTTAATAAAACCTTGCAACCCGATTTAAAAAGACCTTTATGAAGGAACAGATGAATAAAAAGGACTTTACAATATTGCATTTACAAAATAACTAAACTATACTGCTGTAACTTAATGCATTAATGAGATCCATATAAACAATATACAGTTAAGACTTTAAGAAAAATTATCTAATATTACAATTATTTTTCAAGCTTTTCCATCTGTCCTAACTGCTTGACATGGATTATTTTTTTATTTTTGTTTACTTCAATGCTGTGAATGTTTGATTATTCCTTAAACTCTAAACTAAGTCTATAATCTGATATTCTACCATCAATATTCTTTCTGTGGATAGATCTGGGCAAAAAGATGTTATGCTTAAAGTTAAATGAAACATAGTAGGAAATAAGTAGTATAAGTAAGCTGTGGTTTGTCTCATAAATTGTGATGAAAAAAAATGAATTACCTTTAATAAACGGGTGTTTTATGTTATCTTTCCTATTAAAATACAGTGTGTACTAAAAATTGCCTCTTCCTTTTTTGTGATGTGCAAACATATGTTAATATTTGTTTATTAAATGTAGTGAGCCAAACGTTTTTATTTTTTTTCTGTGTGGAAATTGAAAGTAATAAAGGTCATGCTGTCATAAAACAGGCTTAAATCAGAGGTAACCTGAATTTTGCTCATATTTCTGAAAACATTTTAACTCCTGTCTACGATTCTTTGTCAATTCTGGTGGCTCGCAATAGAGATTTATAAATGACACCAAAGTTATAAGGATGGGTTTTTTTTCAATGTCCTGTTACTCTTCTGAATGAAGAGTTTAATCTGCAAAAACTAGAAATAAGTCAACATTTTTTTTAAATTAAGTTTTTTTTTATCCTTAATTTGAGTAGGTAAATAAGATGATCTGCCAATGGAATGAGTACTTTTACTCTTAAAATAAGATAATTAGATAATATGCGCTTGAAATAAGAAAATACAATATTTTTTTCTTATTTTAAATGTAAATCATCTTGTTCCATGGACAAAGTGTCTCACTTACCACCTCAGTTCAAGAGAAAATTCAGTTATTTAAAAAAAAAAATGACTTATAGATACATTTTTTTCAGTGTACATCATTAAAAGGAATGTTCAAAGAGAAAATACAGATTTAATTATGTCTTTCAATTTCTTTTTTAATTTAGTTTTGCATTATTGCATAATTATTGCCATGATTTGTACTTAACCAGCAGTCAGGCACATAGAGAGACACTATACAAGCAGAAAACATAAAAATATAAGAATATAAATATAAAGTGCAATGAGTTAACCATAATAGTTCAATAAGTATCAAATAAATAGACTGATTGTGAATTGTGAGCATGGAGTGAGATATTGCACATGTAACTAAGGCGAGGTGGTGTTCAGTAACTGATTTGTATTAGTCTGACTTTTGCAAGGAAGAAGTTGTTCAAAAAAGTAAAAGTGAAAAACTGCTAAGGCAGCAGACCTGTGGTGACCCTGACCACGACCCATGTACAGCCCATGTACGGAGGCCTCAGTCCTGGATGTCCTGTTGTGAAGATTTCTTTAAATTGTCTTTCAAGTAATTTAGCATTAACCCATTTATTCTTTTGTTGTATTTTATCAGTAGATGTATTCTTAGAGTTTTCTTTATAGGAAGAAATTATGATAATAGTATAGACAATGTTGC